AAATCCTATCCAAAGAATCGAATAAAGGTACTTTCGTTTTCCGGAACTGTCCGGAAGTAGTGGTCACCGCGGTCAACTTTGAAATTTCAAATGAGAACATACATGTAGTGTAGGATGTCATTGGATAGAGCTTGAAAAAGGAAACTTTTTTTATTAGAACATAATCACAGTATCTGTGACCATTGCGGAGAAACGACTGGAAAATTGACAAGTGATGGTCGAAATAATAACAGTAAGTTTAGCATCCAATATGTAAATATTTACATTATTTTCACCTGTATTAATTTTGAAGACATTCACCTAAAACCATTAGCATATCAAACGCTTCTTCATTTGTAAACGACATGGTGATAGCACCAAACGCAAGAAGAGACTGTTTGATAGGAGAGTTCTAAGAGCAGATTGTAACAGTCTGTCAAAAAAATGTACAGTGGCGGTTTTTTAAGGGAGCGTTCCCCCAACCCTTTACATCCTTATTTCTCTCTTTCTTTCTCGCGACCTGGCCTTCTGCGACCTTTACATGCTATGTAACCCTCCCTCCCACACGTATCCTCTTTCTCATCATCCTCCCTATCCCCCAATCATATACCTATTCCATTCTTCTTTCCTCTGTCTCTTTCCCTGTCCCTCCTTTCCAGTCTTCGTTCTCTGCCTCTAGTTCCTTTCCCCACTTCTCCTTCCATTCTCCTTGACTCTCCTTCCTTCCTTCTTTTTCCATTTCTCCTCTTTCTCTCCTTTTTTCCTTCTTCTCTTTCTCACCTTCTTCCCTGTAAATCATTTCATATTATTTTTTATATCCTCTTCCATTCCTCTCCTTCCTTTTCCTCTCCCACCCATTTCCATTCTCTCCCATCTATCCACATCCTCCTGTTCTCCACCCTTATCCTTCTTTCCTCTCTTTTCCTGCCTTTTCTATCATTTTCCATCTTATTCTCCTCTCTTCCATACTCAAGTCCTCGTCTACTCTTATCCCCCCTCTCATTCTTATACTATCCATCTTGTTTAATATCTCTTCCTTATCTTCCTCCCTCCTCATCTCGACAATCATAACTACCCTCCCCTCCTCCCCCAATCTCCCTGTTATTTTTTTTATTTCCGGGGTCCTCTGTCACTTTCATCATTTTCCATAATTTTTAAAATAATTTTTACTTAGGCCCATATTCTGAATCCTCTTTTATCAATAAAAGTGCTTGTAAAAGATCTTTTCAGCCAATAAGAATCCTTTAAAACCAATTTTAGTGGCACTTTTATCGATACTAGAACAACACAAGCGCGCGCTTCGCGCGCGCCATTGTTCTTCCGCATTATATTACATAAACTGTCAAAATAACCCTCTTAAATACAAACTATCGAAACCGCAAGTCGAAGTGAACGACTCGCAACGAGATCGAAACCTAAACTGTCAAAATAACCCTCTTAAATACGAACTGTCAAAACCGCGAGTCGAAGAGAACGACTCGCAACAAGATCGAAACTCGATCGAGTTTCGAGAGAGCCAATCGGCATCGCGGAAAAGCGACAATGAACTCGCAACACCTTTTTTAGATAGGGAAAAGAGGATTCAGAATATGGACTTTAGGGTATTATTATATTTGTCGTACGACAAATTTTTTAAGTGAGTTGATTGGCCACAGGCTAGGAAATTTCTAGATATTTGAGAACTTTTCTACCCTATAGCCAATCAAAACGCTTAAAACATTTATCAAGTAACACGCTTAAAAAAATTTGTCGTACGACGAATGTAATATTAGGCTTAGACCATACACTAAGCAGACTCAGACAGATCTAAACATATGCAGAAACAGATTTTATATCCTCTTGTCATATCCATTCTCTCACTTAAACCAAAAGAAGCGTAGATTCCAGTATTATTATAGTTAGGGTTTCTTTATATTTTATGATTATGTTTATATTACATGTTTTAAACATAACTTTTTATGACGAAAAAGAAGTCACTTATAGTTGCCAGTGATGATTAAGAATTAAAACAGAGAGCTTATTGTCAACCCAACTTGCAAATTCCTTTATTTAACACATTACAACGTTTCAACCCTAGTTTAGGTCCTTTTCAAGTAATACTGCAAATCAACAAATATACAAGATTAAAATTATTAATTAGTTATTAAGTAAAAAGAAAGGAGGTAAATTAACGACCCAAAGTAAGTAACCGTCATCTATGGGATATAGTCAAACGATAAAAATACGAGCACATTCGAATGTTAGATTCGAACTAATTTGTAAGTAACGTCATAAAAACAAACAAGGTGATATTACGACCTACATAGATTTGATTACACAGTAAGGGCCAGTTTCACAAACTTCGGTTAGCTGCTAACCGAAGGTTAATTGATTCTCTGTCTCTTCTTAGATAACAAAATAGAAAAAGATAGGAAGTTGACTGAACTCTGGTTAACAGTTAACCGACGTTTGTGAAACTGGCCCTTATACATTGCATTACATTACATTCAAATTTTCGGTGTCGGTTTGTAAATTAATAGTGTTGTTAGATTTTTGATAAAAACCATTTCGGCAATTTCTTGTTTCCTCGTTAGAAGCTTGCTAAAATTTTTGATGCCAACCAATTAAACTCATAGTCATGTACTCGTAATATGCGATGTCTGCAAACAACATGAGTGGCGGCCTTCGTGCCTTTTTGAAATTAGTAGTAATTTTTTTGCTCAAACCTTTAATATAAGGGAGAATAATACATTTTTTTAGGATCAAAACTTTTATTGTGAGACACACAATCTCTCAAAATCGTATTTCGCCTTTTTAATTTGTTGACTCTAATGTTAACATGTTTATTAATGATTTTGTCAGGAAAGGAGTTATTAATTAAAATTTTCTTAACTAATTCAATGTTTTGTTTCCAAAATTTTTGGTCAGGAAGTAAGATGGCATGCTCCACGAGACTAATGATAGTGTTAATTTCATATTTAAAAGGATGGTTGGAAAAATAATTTACTTATCATCCAGAAAAGGTTGGTTTTTGACACTAATTTGTCAATATTTTTTAATTGTTGTTTCTAATAAATATTACGTCAAGAAAAGGAATGGAGTTGTGTGATTCAATTTTGTGAGTGAATTGTAACCGTGGCTGGTAATTGTTAAAAATAGAAAGAACGAAGCTTATCTTAGTTTTTGGTAAAACAGCGCAAATGTCTATATACCTGTAAAAAGTAGGAACGTTAAAATCTAGTTTCTGTAAGCTGTTCGTCTCCAAGTCAGCTAGAATCGGTGACAAAGGAGACTCTCATAGGACTTCCGAAAATCTGCTCATAGAATTGTCCGTCAAACTTGAAGCTGGTAGAATTTGGAACTATTATAATTCGATAGCGTGTAGGAACTGGGGTAAGTTGAGTAAAGTATTTCGTAAAATCTCAGTCCAACGTTTTTCAATAGCCCCAAACACCAGTTCTTTAGGGATGTTAGTGAAAAGTGAAGTGACATCCAAAGATACAAGCAGGTCCCCAGGGGGAGCATAGATACTTCTGACAGCAGTCACTAAAGGCCAGCTATCTTAGATGTGTGATCGTGGTTAGCCCCAAACTAAGATCAATACATTGTAATGTATTAAATAAAGGAATTTGCCAGTTGGGTTGACACTAAGCTCCCTGTTTTAATTCATAACTTTTTATTATGTTATTATTGCGCGCGCATGTATATACACTTATAACTTCTTAATTTTTAATGTTATAGATATTTTCTTAATTGATATTAAAGTTGTACATATACAGACACATTAACTAATTTGTAATATAAAATATTATCATTCTTTCTTTGCATTCTGACATCTAATTTATAAAGTTTACATAATTTACATTGTCTACATGAAAAAAGGTCACAGACAATTATGTAAACAATTCAGGTACATGTAATTTTGAAATTTACCTTACATCCCTGATTAGGAGTAACTTCTTATTGCTTGATAATTTTTTATCGAAGTTACACATATTATAATTCTGCTATAATTACTGTTTTATGTAACGGAAGCGATATTGGAAATTTCTAAAACTTTGTTGCAGCATCGACACAAGTGGTATTGACGGTGCAGCAGAAACCAGTGACATCGAGTGGTGCGGCAGCAGTAGGGACAATAGCGACAGCAACAACAACTTCCGGTCTGCAAGTCGGAGTGGTCGGCGCCACAAGTCAACAACATCAACGTCCGGTCAGTTTGTTGACAGCCGGAAACATGTCACCCTCACAACCGGCAACTTCTCTTCATCGGGTGTCCACAGCACCGGCAGGCAGTGCTCCGTGTAACACTCGAATCACAGGCCCGCAACCAGTTGACGTAAATATAATAAACTGCCTTTATCATCCTCGGTTTTCTTGCATTTATGCGGTGATAGATTAGGACTGAAATAAAAGCACAGGCAGAAATGATAATAACGTAGCAACAAATACGTATATAAAGTTAGAAGCTAGGTTTTTCTATTTATGAGAAAAAAAAACTCAAAACTGAACTATGTGTTAAATTTTTTATTAATATGTATTAATATTTATTAATTATAAAAAGACCTATTGAACCAGTGAAAACAGAAAGGAGACATGTGTAACATTTTAGCTTAAATTAAGTTAACAGTGGTCTATAATTACTCTGTGCAACTGTTAAAATAGTTTTTTCAAATGAAATTTTATTTTAAGGAGACTTCTCTTCAGAGCGTAAAGGTAGCACAAAACTTGCTGAAAAATACATATTGATTGGGTTTTATTTTTTCAAATATCTAGAATGATTTTGCTACGTGTATTCTTTATGTTTTGACCGATTTAGAAGCAATTTAAAAAAACAATAATGTATTAGGATGATGGACATATTTTCAAAAATATATAACATTTTATACTTGTCCACGCACACATATGTATGTATACAATATGTATCTATAACTTCTTAATTTTTAATGTTATAAATAGATATCTTCTTAATTGATGTTAATATTACACATAGCTGTACAGATATATTAACTAATTTGTAATGTAAGATATAATTACTTTTTGTATTCTGACATCTAATTTATACATATGCATAAAGTCTAATTTATAAGAAAATGTTGCGCATTTAAAATACGGAAAGTGCTTGTGTGTGAAACTACTTAACTTTAATGTCAAAAAGAACAAGTTTTGATTATTGCAATGCGTTTAACTTGTTTTTTCAAAAATATTTATTGTTTGATGAAAAAATGGCGTTTGGAGAAATTTTCTAGTCATTATTGATTGATAATACAATATTTTTCCAGTGTTCACCAATTTTTACACATAGAAATCTCTTTAAGTTGCTAGTAATAGATAACAATAATCAAGCTTTTTAGTTGACGTTAACCAGCCAGTATTTTAATACAGGAAATTTATTGCGAAAAGTATTATCTCGGTCAGGTTTTGAACCTGGACTTCTCTTCTCTCTAGACAGGCGTCTCACCAACAGGCCTCAGTGGTCGACCATTGAGGTTCAATTGCCTGTTATGTCATTATATAATAGTATGTTTTATTATAAATTTCTCTCTTTTATTGAACACCAAACGACTACAACTTTTTAACGCTCCAAGATTATACACAATGTTATCTTCTATCGAATTGTATCACTAGCTATTATTATTAATAGAATATAAGCAATTCTGATCAAGGTTGTTTTTTTACAGATGTTGCTCTGATTTGTTTCAGCTCGAGAAGAAGCGACAACTGGAAACGCAGCGAGTTCACACATTCCAGCTTATGTTGGAAAAGGAACAAAGTTACGTAGACAAATTACGGAGCGAGCTGGCAAAAGCTGGCACCGGTAGCGGCAGCACCAATGTCACTGCTGTACAAGCAGAACTGGCGGGTGCCGAGAGAAGAGTGCGCACTTTGCAGGAACAGCTTGCAGCGATTAGCACGACAAACGAACAGGTCTGCATATTTTGTTTCTTTTTCTATTGTATATTTCTCTATGCACTGCATTTTTTCCAACAATTGATTTGGTACATAGATGATCAAAATCTTTCATTTATCACCTGATGCATCTACGAATTTAAATATACCAAAGAACATTATGGCTGATAATAGAGGAAGGAATTTAATCTTTTAAAGTAAACATTTGTACTGAACAATATTTATAGGCAACACGTGTCTGTTAAAAGATTGTACACTTGTCCCACGATTTACGCGGTACTTTTTATACGTGATTAAAAAATCGGCGGTAAAAATACCTTCACTTACTGCAAAGCGAAGCTGAAATCAATCAGGAACAAACAAGTGAAGTACAATGTTAGTATGTACATTATAGTGTACAAGTTTTTCTCTTATGTATTTTTGTACTGATAGATTTTATTACTCAGCAGCAGTGTAAAAGAAACCACATGGAACACATTCTTTGCGTAAATCAAGGGACGAGTGCACATAATATATATTTATTTACGATGACAAAAAGATCTGTTTTATTTATTAAAATTATTTAGAAGATAAGTTTGATTGTGATACAAGGTATAATAATATGGACAAAGAAATATAGTATATGTATAGCGTTTCAGAACATATTAAGACGATAAAAAATATTTGAAGAAACATATAAGATGGTAAAGAGCAAAATGGACAAGTGTAGGGCGAATAGACTCGCTATGAATTGTAACGTACAGTCGGGAGCACTGAGGTTGCGACACTTTTTTTTTTATAAGTTTACGAACGCGCAAAAAATTCAGGATCCTGAATTATTTTGCGCGTTCGTAAACTTATAAAAAAAAAGTGTCGCAACCTCAGTGCTCCCGACTGTACACACAGGTTGTGGCAATAGTAGCTAATTTTCTTTTATTTTTGATAAAAAATGAGAGGTTGATTGATTAATTACCCTATGTATAGGATCTAAAAAATTCTTGGAATAATTTTGATCAAATTTTGAGTAATTATTAAAACAGGAAACTTGGAGTCAACCCAACTGGCATATTCCTTTGGCCAAAATACAACGTTTCGACCCTATTTTGGGTCCTTTTCAAGTAATATTGCAATCAATAAAAATACGAGATTAAAATTATTCATTAGTTAGCGAGTAAAACGAAGGAGGGTAAATTAACGAACTAAAGTGAGTCATCGTCATCCATAACACAGAGTCAAAATATAAAAATACAGGCACATCTGAACATTGCTGATGCTCGATTTAAACTAATTCGTTGGTGCCGTCATAAAAACAAAACAAGGTGATACTGGACAATCTACAAAGATTTGATTACGCAGTCATACATTACATAAATATTTTTGG